GGGGGGGGAGGGTACCGCTCTCCCCTTTAAATTACGTGCTTGAATTTATAACGCAACTCGATTGCCACAATTTCGTTTACAATACTAGCATTAAGTACAATATAATATACTGAATAGTATTAGGTAAAACTAATATATAGGTACCCTCCTCGTCTTCATATCCTATGCATTTGTTGTATACACTATGCCGCGTGTAACACATAATATTAATGCATATTATTATCCCTCTGTTCAAACAGCATTAGAGGTCCACGTGTATACAGTGTGCTGAGGACGTTTTATATTAATCAGTATACGACAATATGTTTCCAGTGACTATCCCCTTTTTACCCGGTATACGGTTTACTCTTGGTCCTCGYGGTCGTGTGTTTGTTGACTGCCCTATATATGAATGGCGTATTGCAGCCGCCAGCCGGGATTGCYTGTGTGAGCAAAATGTTTCCGCCATTTAATCGGATTACTCACAATCGACAGGAGAATCCTATATAACCATTTGACGAATCATATAATAAACCACGAATTTCCGATTCACTTAGAGAGATCAAAAGGGTGAATGAACGAACGCATCAATGAAGGTCGATGTTACAATAAAATAGTGTTATGCTAAATAATTCATCAGATAAAAACGCTGTACCGGCCTAGGATATATTATTATTTTGTTTTTTTAAATCCTTTTTTTAGATGTAAAAATACCATAAATATTATACAAGGAAGTAGTAATTATTTTATTCGTATTTAAAAAACTAATAAAATAATGTTTAATAGCCAGTAATGGTGAATCATTAGTTTAATAAGCGCGCAATGCGCATCATTAAAAACCTATGCTCATTTTCATTTATTAACAATAATATTATGATATAATATTAGTATATTACCTATGCATTTTATGATTAATTTTAAGAAAAATGTTTGTAAATTTAGATGTTCATACCAAACCAATTACACGAATTATTATTATTATGAAAGATTTATATGTAATACATATTATGTATTATATATATATAATTGTATAAAAATACATTTTTACGTTCGGACTTCTATTTTAACATATAATATAACAAGTGTCATATCTGCTATTTATATAAATATAAAATTGTACCTATACTTGCWGCAGAGTATAGTGTTCCACTAACACAGTTATTTTGAAGCTATAATGCCACAATGTATTTATTATTTAAACTCATTCAGTTCTATAATATTGGTAGGTATCTATATTGTACAAAAAAATMAAATTTAAAATGCATCGTTATATTTTGTTATAGTTAGGTTTAATAGYTATGGTAATAGCCATTGAAATTGAAATAGTGCTTAATATGGTATACAGTTTATGTTATAACCTTTTTTTCATTCTTTTTTATCGAAATATTGTGTTTCGTAACTTGTGTATTTTATGAAATCACAACAGTCATTATTATTTGTTTTTCGTTTAAATTATTTATTTATACAAATATTATCTTTATCTTAGATACTTTAGAAACGAACAAAAGCATAATAATAATATGCTAACGTGAAATCTCAATGTTGTAGAGCGCGAGTTTTTCACCAACAGAAATCGTATTTATTCACACGCGACGAATAAATGGACGGAATAAAAGGCGTTCARACATTTTTGGAATGCAAATTGTGACTTTGTTTCCGGCACGCGGCTTGACAATAATAATAATATGCTGAACGAAATATTATATTAGTCCGGTGGCCATCGGTCGAATAATAATATCATATTGTTTACGACGGAATAAAAACTTAAACATGATCGGCGATCGCGGTCGTCGGTGCCTGTTGCGCCCGACACATTATAATAACGATAATAATAATAATATGCGTAGGTACGCTTACCTCCCACTTATAGAGACGTATTATAATTATGATTATTATAATATTATAGTAATATCTGCGCGGTATCGGCGTTTTCGATGCATAAATTATCCGCTGTACGATTTCTCGCGAGCAGTAAAGGTTGAATAAAAAAATTAAAAAAAAAAAAATCGTATGCCCATGATTCGTACGCGTACTTATAGATATGAGATATATGGAAATATTGAATTCGGGGAGAGCGAACAAAATCGGTCGATTGTCGTCGTTGCCTTGTGCCATATTCCGCGGACGACCCACCACCCACCGTCGCGCGTCGCCGTTAGATTCGCGAGAGGTGCGAAAGCATAATATTATATTAATGTATAGAAATATTATTATTATTATATCGCCGCGCGTAGTCTTCACTGGTCGGCAATCCAGTTCACGGCTATATTATTATTTTTAATATTCGGAACGAATACACATGTATAAAGACGACCATAATATTACTGTCAGTGGTTTCGTACTATAATTCACACGTGTGCAAGAGTCCATTATTATAATATATGAATACGAATAAAATAATTTAATAAAATACCATAACATTATTTGTATAACGGCGTTCGATCGAGATATTCACGCAAATAATATAATATGCGCCGTGTTCAGAGACACAATATCACATATAAATGATACGAGTATACTGCATCAACCACTGTTCAATAATAATACGATCTTGGCCGTTAGACCGACAACCGTCGTCTGACCAGTAAATACACACTACCCGGTTAGTGGTTACCTGCTACCTGTCGATGATATCCAGTCGCCGTTGTCAGAAGTGGCGCCTGCATCTATATACACACACCCACGGAGCATT